ACCCTTTAGTATTACAGAACACTGTGCAAAAATATGAGAACAGTGGAGGTCAGCATTAATTTGTACTGTTTAACAAATGAAAATGAGTGAACATGCAATTGTCGGCACTTGACTTCCCCATCATGAGTTTCACCTGTCTGTTGGTTTACAGACATAGTTTATACAGATTAAAAAAGAAAACACTCAAATATTTAAATGATTCAGTATTTTCATCCCTTTTAGACTTGTATGGAATTTAACCATGGAGTTTACGAAATCAAATAGGAAAACCTAAACAGTTAACACAACTAACTGCATGGCTAACTAAATAAGTATTATAACTAAAGACTCATACCTTACCTATGTCAGAACAGTGAGTATAATAATCCAGTGAGGCAGATGAAAGCTGGGACCTTGGGTTGCGTCAGTGGGCCAGTGAAATTCCTCTGTACTCTTGTGTGCTCTGTGTGACTCCAGTGCCCTTCATTTAGCTTTCCTCAGGTAGTGAGATCAGAGCTGCAGTCTCCTGTACTTTCCTGCCCTCCCTCTCTCCCTCCCTCCTTCCCCAACACCACTCTCTCTCTCCCCCTCTCTGCCTGTTCCTCTCTCTCACATGTTTTTTTTTGTAACAAGACACCAAACATAGACAGAGCCTAACCTCATGTGACTTGAGCTCTGTAACTGAATCTGCTGCAGTGAGAGCAATGCGATGTTTCCTTTCAACGGCTGAAAGGGCAACCAGCGGGCCTATTTAGCTGTTATAATAAAAATATGTGTAATAGGAATAACGGCATACAAATCTCAGATTATTATCAGCAGATTCAAGCATTGTGATCTTGCCTCTGTGAAATGGAATTGAGTGCTTTTAATTGAGACGAGATAGAGAAATGCATGTATTGTCTTGATTTTTGTCTGACATTTTTACAAACCAGTTTGGTTCTACTGTTACAACTTCAAATACTAATACATTTTCTAATATTAGACTGGGTCAGGGTTTTCAGCATAGCCTACCCTATTTTGGTTCTTATTCTTAAATAACCTTTATAAACCAAAACAAAACATTATTTAAATCTCACAAACAAGGGAGAACAGCAGAGACTTTATATATAAAGAACACACATGTACACATAGAGCACTCCATTTTTTTTTTAAATTAAAGGTGGGGTAGGTAAATTTGAGAAACCGGCTCGAGATACACTTTTTGTTATATTCCATGGAATGCTCTTAACATCCCGATAGCAATGAATATCTTAAGTGCTTTGACAAGAACTCCATAAAAAAATGTCATCTGTGGAAGCCGTGGTACTGTAAAAAGCACGACCAATCATTTTAGCCGGCCCGGCTAAAATAACTGGATGGCCTACCTGCCTGTCAGCCTTCCATCTGTGCACAAACTTATCTCGTGCCCTCATTGGGCATGTGCGCGTTCGTGTGTGTTGGAGGAGGGGCTCTGTAAGGAAGTGGCAGATTTTTCCGGCTGTGTATTTTCAAATTCTAGCGCACCCGAGCTGGTTTCTCCAAAATTACCTACCCCACCTTTAAGTAATTATTTGTAGTTATTATTTTTTCCAGGGTAATACAGTGATTTAGGTAAATGTTTGACAGTAATATACCCTTACTAGTTCACTTTAAACTGCAGGATGGAGATTTCAGAGAGAAGATAAAACAGATAACGGTTATCCATCTACTGTAGGCCTAGGGAGATTATTTCTTTATGCTTTATATTCACAAAATGTGTGCGGAAAGTCTAAAGAAAAAAAGAGTTAACATTAACATTAAAAGTGAAGATAAAAGACAGATTCATAGCGGGTGGAAATCGGTAGAGGAGTAAAAACGCTGAGGGAAAGAGTTTGAAGATCCAACCTTGCAACAGCGTTGTGCTCTATACTTGGCAGGAGGACCTGGTCCCCTACAACTGTCCCCTGTCCTGCAAATGCAACTTTCTCCGCCCTGTGCACCTAAAAGAAAAAAAAGATAACACAGGTCAAATGTAAGGCATCAATATGAAAGAAGTCTTTGTATTTCAGATACACATTAGTGATGTGAGGAAGTTTTTTGTACCTGGCCCCATCTCTTTGACTGTACGCAGAATGATGTCACCACATTTTCTGAGTTGTTCCCACCAATTATAACCAGCCTGTCAGTGGCACCCAGGAAATACAGAGTAGGGAGGTCTGCATCTGCTCTGGCGAGGGTGGGAAGCAGCTCAGACCAGGAGTCTAAAAAACAAAGAGAATACATAAGCACCATTTATTTTGTTGATGTCAGAATATTATCAAAATGGTACAAATAAGGTTGATGGCATGTTCTGCCTTACCATGCCTCGTGTTGTACTGCAGCAGCAATTTCTCTCCAGTCCTCTGGACGCTCCCCAACACGTAGAGACTCTCTCCGAGGCTAGTGGCAAGTGGCACATCATAGGACAAGGACATGGTGAACTGGAAGTCAATGAGCGGCAGTGAGGAGACAAACCTGAGGCAGAGATCAAATTCAGTCACTAATCGATCAACAAATAATGGAACAATTGTATGTAAGGGGAAAACATATCACATGTTGTTCTCAGTATCCTTCCAAAAACCTGCCATCACTGTTAAAGAGGACACAAACCTCCATGTGTCCTCCCAGGGATCATAGCGTTCTACAGCTGTGTAAAGAGCTGTGCTGGAGTCTGGGGTCACCAATGAGTCCAAGTACCAGCCTCCCACAGCGTAGATACAGCCTTCACAGGCCACTGCAGTGAAGTGCCTTCTGTGCTGTGGGTGCAACATATTCAATAGTATTAAAACAAATGATTGCAGAAAGAAAGGCATGTTTAAAAAAAGTATTCTTTATTAGTTATTTTCTCACATTCCCCTTTACATCCAATAGTACTCCAATTTAGATGAACGGTTTCTTTAACAAGGGGTCACAACAACATGTATAAGGTCTCAAATCCAAACATTTCAACATGAGAATATGAAAAACAAAATGTATAGAAATTATACAATTACAACACTGAGAACGTAAATAACACAGGTATAACTAATTAAAATTAAATAAAAGATGAACGGCATGTTTAATTTTGGGTAAAACAGACACTAACCTTAATCATAGGAGCTGTGGAAACCCACTTATTAGTGGAGGGATTATACCGTGAGGAGGCCATCTTGAACTCCCAGCCTCTCTTCACACGCTGCCGGTAACCTCCAATTACATATAGGTAGTTATACAGCACCACTGTAGTGAAACACCACTTATCAGCCCTGAAGGGAAGCTCTGTGACTGGATACCAGTGTCCGCTGTCCTCTGAGCCTCTGAGGGTGAAGATATGTCGGGCACTTTCAGTTTCCGGGTCTTTCCAAGTAGTCAGGTTCTCTTTCCTAAGGCTGCACATACGTCGGTCTCCATGTGTCCTCCTCAAGTGGAACACTTCTTTTTTCTCCTGATCCTTCAGACACCTGAGGAATGCACCAGTTTTAGGAACAACAAAGAAACATGTGGTCAACTGTAGGAAATCCTAATGACAGCCAAAATAGTGGATACTTTATGAGGTGAGGTAGCTCCAGCAGGTTTCTACTCAGGTATGTGAACACGGTCCTCTTCAGCTCCACACAGCAGATATCCTGAGCCAGACTAAGGTAGGACCGACAGTTTCCTGGGCTGAGTTCGAGGACTGACAGACACTTTGAGAGGAAGGCCTCAGCCAGGAGATAGCTGCTGACCTCCAGAGTTGGAAAGGGAGAAATAATATGTTTTGTGCTAGGGTGAATTACAACACTAAGGGAAAGCATGACATTTCCGAAAGTGACAAGTTTAAATAGACGTAGAGAAAGGAAGTCTGTTTACCTGGATGTGGTAGCCCAAATCCTCCTGAGGGACTATAAACTTATTATGGAAGGAGAACTCAAGGAAATTGTGGAAGACGGATGAGGACACATGGTCCAGGAGGATGAGGCTCTCTGAAGTCTCCCTCATTCTGGATTGGGACAAGGCTCGGAAGTACTCACTGCACTGTGAGAGTATCCCAATATCCACCTTAATGAATTATTAAACCAAGATTGTTGTGGCCTCCAGTTCTAAATGGTTAACTTGTACAGTTTAGAAATGTGTGTTTTGTTTTTTACCTACATGGAATGCACATGTTCTGGTTTGCACTGTAACCATGGTTTCATCTCCATCTCCAGGGTGATATGTGCGAAGTGCCTCAATGGTTTTCCAGTCCTCGGAGTCTGATCCTCTATCTGTGACACCTGGGGATGCTATCCGATTTTTGCCTGCTGGAAAAGCTCCCCATAGTCTTGTTAGAACATATATGACCGAGAAGCGTAACCCCTCTATTAATATGATAACACATTGCCGGAGAGGATCCATCTCATTGATGGTGTCAGATCTAAGTGAAGACAATTATAACAGTTTTAATACAGCCTGCCCTGTACCATTTTTTTGTTTAAACTCAACAGGTTTTAAGATGCTTTGCACCATACAACCAGTCCTACAATCACACATTCAGACTGTAAGTGTTCCAAATCAGAGGAGACAATCTCCCAATATTACAAGCAGCCACAGCAATGGCAAATAAAGGACAGAACGACCAGTTGAGTCCATGTTTCACTGGCTCATCTACTTTTCCTTCTGCAATGCTCACCGTCAAATGCTCTTTGAAAGCAAAAGGAAACAGCTGAGTGCAAATACTTAAGACAACATGCCAACAGAAACAGCTTGTTAAAGAAGTTGGTGCAATGCAACGCTAGGCAAACCTCAGAGTTCCTGTTTGTTCTGCTACAGATCCAGTGCATTCGGAGGTCTCTCGATCTTTGAGCAGTGCAGCTCTTTCTGGCTGGTCTATTTTTGGCACTTGGAGGTGGGACAACAGTCAACCGTCTGCGATGAAATATGGTCTCCTTCAAGCTTCACGTCATCATGGGGCAACTAAGTTACTGCTGCAGTTTTAAAAGTAACCTTATGTTTCACAAAATGTATCGATACATTTGTAAAAATGTATTTTAGAGCCAATGTATTTATGAGAAAAACAAATGCATTGACACAGGTTCTAGAGACATGTTTATTAGATTTAAACTAGTAGTTTGTAACCAACCATAACCAACATAAAACAGATGACACAGTATGAACGTCAACAGGAAGCGCTGCTTTAAAAAACAACAGTTAATGAGGCACAGTAAAGCGGCTAGCTTCTTTTCAAAAGTAAACTGACAAAGCTTTGTGTGAAATGTAGGATATTCATGACATTTGGTGAAGAAAGTAGCTTCTGTCAAACCCAGGAGACTGTCTAAATAAACATAATCATAATGGTATTCAAAAAAAAAAAAAAAAAGTTTCAATAATTGTAGGATCTATTTAAGCAGTTTAGCTTAATTTAGTTGACTACAAGTGCCAGATGTACATTTTAGTTACATAAAACCATAGATGAGAATGACAAATGTTTACCTGATGATGTTACAGTCATACAACGATAGATAGAAGAGAAAAGGTAGCAAGACAGTTACAAAAATGTACAGTTAATAAATCCAATATTACTGACATAAACTTACACTTGTGAATTATTCACATTATTGGACCTCCAAAGAACAACCCTAATGCAGAATTGACATCAGAAAAAAGGAGCAAGGCAGAATAAAACAAAAAACTCTAAAATAACTCGAATTTAGACACATGAGTAGCATTGTTTAGTACAGTAGCCGACCATCATGTTGACTGAGCCCTTCAAATGCCAAACAACCAATTTGAACATGCCGTAGAGCTTTACCTGCTCTAAAAGAATTTCACATTAGAGAGAGGTGCTTTAATAGGATGGATTGCCTGCATTATGTTCAAATGTACATGTATATCTTCCACCCAACATTGCTTGTAGTAAGCACGAGTTGCATACTAGTAGTACATTTTATATCAAAACGTGGGAATCAGGAGAAGGCTTTCTTTAACTTGAGGTAGCCATCAAAGCGGCACTGGGCATAGTCCTGCAAAAACAATATAGTCTACTTTAAGGCAACATTTACAAATGTATCATCAAATATGTGACTGACAAAAAATCATTATGTTTATTGAAATAAATGTACTATGCCACTGGTGTTTGTTTTGTAATGTGAAATAAAATAAAATTCCTTACCATGTATCCAAACTCGATCTTGGAAATCTTTGCTTGAATGATGGACCACAGCCCCCAGAGGAAATGTGAAGCTAATGCATACCTACAAATCACAGCAAGAAAGGACCAGGGCTTTAGTGATTCTGCTATAACCTTTAAATCATACATGGCGTTGCTGTAGATCAAGTTGTACCTGTTAGCTTCAATTATCATGGCCTCCTCCTCCTGTGTCTGGTCCTTGGACATGTCAGAGTGTCCTCTCTGCTGTGCCAAATAAGTTCTGATGAAATGAAGCTGAAATTAAAAACAAGCGACACGTAAAACAAAAAGTAGAAAAGTGACATCCTCTTTTGTTTACACATTTTATGATTGCCTATATCTGCATTATTTAATGTACTGCACATTGCCATCAGGAAAACCAAGTGTCTTTACTCAGAAAATGGAGTAAAGCAACTTAAAATGAGTGACCCCTCCCCCTCCCACCCAGCCTACATCTTCTTCCAGCTTCTCTCCTCTGGATGGCGCTACAGGCTCATCTTAGCAAATACCACCTAATTCATAAACAGATTCCTTCCAACAGCACCTATGACACTTAACTCCCCTCACTACTCCACCTTACCACAAGGTCCTTTTTACTGACCCATATTGTTCTGCAGCCACTGGAAAGATCTCAATATTATTTTTGCTGCTGCTTTTAATTGATATATTCATATCTCACACTGCACTGTAACTTTTATTCATGTACCTGTGTTATTCATGTTTTATTATCTTTGCTTTGAAATTAGTGTTTTAAAATGATCAGAGCGTATCCATTTCCCATAAGTGCTGGCCTTATATTTTTGGGTTAAACATCAACACTGTGAGTCTCTTTTGTGGGACTCTGAAGGATTGGACTTCAAGGACACCTATTATTCAAAATCCACTTTTTCATTGCTTTTATACACAAACATGTGTCCCCTCTGTGGAAAGAGATTCTGAAAGTTTCAGGAAAAAAAGATTCACCCACTTTTTGTCCTGATCCATTTATATAAAAACCTGCCTGAAAATGAGCTGATCAGATGTTGGCCACTTTATGATGTCATAACGATTTTTCTGGCTTGAGTAACCATTAGCCAATCACGAACCAAGGTAACCCCCTCCCCCCCTCTTTTTAACCAAATATCTCGGTAGGGGCGTGGGGAGTGGCTCCTTATTTTCATCTAAAGTAACAGACAGAGAATCAGCACTTTTGAAACAGGGCTGAAACAGAGGGGTTTATGGGATGCTGCAATGATCTGTTTGGTATTTTGAGCCAAAAACTTTAGAGACATGTTTTGTATATATCTGAGACCTATAATATATTGATGAAAAACAGTATGATAGGGGACCTTTAATAGGTTAGTCTACTTTTATACAGCCCTGGTTTAAACTGACCTGCTGCTCTCTGGTGGGATAGTTCTTCTGTGTGGCTTTGTAGAAGGGCCACTGGTTATAGGTGTAGTCATACATCCACTCACAGAAATGGTTCCCAAAGTCAAACCCCCTACATGAAAGAGTAAAACATTAGTCATTTAAAAACAAAAGAGCACAATCTTTGTGTATGCATCTAAGTGTAGTCCAGACATCATATTTCTTATCAGAATGAATAATTACTGTTGATCAACAACTTTACCTGTAATTGTAACTGCTGTACTCAAAGTCAATCAGCATGAGTCTGTCAGTGGCGTTGGGGTCCTTGTTTTCCAGTATCAGAATGTTACCTGCAGCAGCAAAACAAGATTTTCTCTTCATAATAATAATAATAATAATAATAATTTCAGCCTCTGTGGGGTTAAGACACATCGACTTCTTCGGCTATAACTGAACTTCAAGAGTCACATTGTTTTGCACAAAGAAGTGCTTTTTGTAGAACGTATATATGTTGGCGATTGAGAGGTTTTGAATGTGGACATGGTTAAATGTACTTTTGGTCTGGGTTGCTCACTCAATTCCAATTTGAGTGACAATGTTGGCTTTATTAGATAACAAAACTAATAGACAGGAAAGTAGGAGAGACGGGACACGAGAGCCACGTGGGTGCCCTCAATAGTGGTAAATCCTAAAACTTGTGGCAGTATGAATAGAGACCTTATTTCATTCACCATGACAATGTCACAATGTACAAAGTCAGCTCTGTGACACAATTGTTTTTCTAGATAAGTGTGGACAAACTTGACTTGCCTGTACGGAGGAAGAGCTGCAAAGCTACCCATATGAGCAAAAACTGTCACAGTAGATATATTGGCATAATCACATATATCACAATCAGCTATGTGTATATTTTGCAGTTTTCCACATATCTTTAATATGTCGGTTCAGATTAAGTATTTATTCTAAGAGACATTCCCTTTTATTAAAAAGCTATTCCCCGACCGCCACCTTGTATTCTTCATCTTCAAATACAGGAAGATGCATATGAATTTGAGCAGTTCCTATTAATAACTACACCCAAGCCTTTCTTTGACTTATGGTTTTAACTGCTGAGAATTGATCAATTAGCCAAAGTTTGAGGATTAAAGTTTACCTTCCGTGACGTCATTGTGGCAGAATACCACTGGTGATTTAGTCTCGGCCAGCAGCGCACTGTGGTGGAGGAAAGAGTCAGATGAACAGAGTAGATGATGACAGAGAAAGGGAGAGGAAAGAAGGAGCTTGTCAGTGATGCATTTGCAGGCGGTGTTACTTGCTAATCATTAATACCAATTTTAAAGAAATTACGCGAGTATAAAATGTGATCTCCTTGAGACTAGTTACTACACTGCAGCAATGACGGTATTTTATTTTTAATAATTATTCATTCAAATTGTACTGTATTGTAAGATCACCCAATATGATCATTATGTGTATTTTTGAGAAAGCTACTTTTTAATAAGTGGCAAAAGTGTTATTCAATTCTCCAGAAGCTTAGGATGATGTAACTACAATATGAAATATAGTGAGGGGGGTGGAGTGGTGCGTTTTTCCTGATTCATTGAATTCTTTACATCAAGCCAAGAAGATGGCGCCTTGAAGTCTCATAACTGTGTCAGACGTCAGTGGGAGACTGCTTCATATCTAAAAGATAAAACATGGGCTCATAGATAAACAGTGACAATAAACACTGTGCTGATTATCTATTGGCTGCCGAGGTCAGCCCACCTGGAGGACTCAGCTGTGAAGTCGTGGAGGGACTGGGACAAAGGTCAGTTATTAGACT